CCTCCGGATTTTGCTTATAATAGTTGTAGAACACGACCGCACACAACCATCCGTGGGAATCGATCAGACTACTAGCCTTAAACTTGTGTAATCTGGCGGTTCCCCCGTTTGGCAAAATGTGTTTGACCACCTTTCGGTCCCAGTCAAACTGGGGCTGTGCCACAGAGAGGTAGTACATACCCAATAGCATGTCCATGGGGAGTTCGTCGCTAACCAGGAATGAGACATGATGCCTCAATTCACCTCCCGCGTACGGGAAAAAGCACTCTATGTCCTTTAGGTAGTCATGGACTACCATGCGCTGTTTGTTGGCGCAGGTCGACTCCACAGGTCGACTCAGGCGCTGCACTTGCCCCTGTAAGCGCAGCCTCTCAACGCACGCGCGACTAATAAAGTTCCTAGTCGAGCAAGTGTCGTAATAGGCCCCGGCCTTGCGGCCTCCTATGACTACCTCGCCGACAAACATTTCACTCCTAGGGGCTTTGACTAACGTCGTCCAAGAAGCTAGTGGGTCTGATCTAGACCACTCATCCTCTAGCTCCTCTAAGGATTCAAACACATTCATCGAAAAGAGGGTCGATGGGTCAGAATGTGTTTGCGGGACGACTGAAGAGTCTGTAGCTTGGGCCATCTCTCGCGAAGGTGAGGGTGAATCCACCATCGCAACCCTAGTAGGAACAGCTACTACTCCTACTGGTCCGACGTGTTTCCCGGAGCACTGCCTAAAGAACTGGCAATGTTGCTACCAACGGGTTGAGAGGATCCTACCGCCGGCCCCATAGTGGGCGGGATCTTCTCGGTGACCTTCTTGTTGCGGCACTTGTACATGCTATGACCATATTGGCCACACTTGATACAAGCTTGCGGTCCCCACCGATCTCTCCACACGTCCTCAGATAGACCCGCTTTCTCCCATGGAGGAACATTGGGGTCTGTTTGACTCTTCGACCGGGATCCCCTAGGGCGTCTACCGGTCCCTTTACCTTTTTGTTGGGTTACGGCGGCGACTACTCCACCCTCTGAAGTTTCGCCACCTGCCTCTGCACCTACTCCCTCCTGGAAGTTGTCGTCCAATTCGATGGTTGATCCATCGTTGTCGACAAACATGATGCGACCTTCCGCCTTCCAGTTAGGAGGCAGTGTCTTCTTTCTCCCTTCCGTAGTGGGTGCCTGTCCATGCCCTATCTTTGCTTCCAGGTCTAGGGCCACCTTGCTGAACGAAGGAAAGTTGTGCATATTGATGTTGGCCTCTTTTGCCAACTGGTTCCTGGGAGGCTGTGAAAAACATCTCAGGTACGAAGTCAATAGGACCTGAGGATCATAGCGGACCCCAGGTACACAAATCAAACGCTCTACAGCGTCGGTGGCCTCCCTTACTGACTTAGACTGCCGCGTGTGCAGTGTCAGGATCGCGTCAGTGGCCCTTTGAGCCTCTTGAGGATCATGCCACCTTTCTTCCACCATCTTTAGGAAGTCCTCCAATTTCTGGGAGGCTGCCCAAGCGCGGAAGTCATGACCATATCCYTGAAGTTGAACTAGACCGCTCAACCATCTCGCTGCACTACCCTCGAGGTAGGAGGCARCCACAAGCACTTCTTCGTGAGGCAAGGTGAGTTTGCACCTGACGTAGACCGGCACTGCCCWCAACCATGTGTCGAGGTCCTCGCCTSTCTTGTCTCCTGTAAAAGGTTTAGGRGCRRCGATGRCSGTCTTTGGAACCCACTGTGTTTGTCCCRGTCCCTGCATCATTCCAGGCTGTGGACCTGGTGAAACAGGTTGCTGTGCTAGCTGCTGGGGCTGTGTGCCCTGAGGCTGCACTGACTGCGRGACAGCAGGCTGCGTGGTGACTGCAACCTGTGACGGACTTGGAGTAAACACTATCTGTACAGGAACCTGTAAACTACTCCCTGCTGTTACCCCTCCTGATAGCGGCATGCCTATGGATACGATAGCAACCGTTGAGGGGGCTACAAATGGGGATACCCTAGTCACCGGTGGGACAGAGAAGGGAGGATATGGCAGGGGCCAGGCACCAGGCCTGGCTGGTGATGGTGTTGCATGAGCACGGCGTGACAATACGGCCAGACTCTGTTGAATGTCCTGAAGGATGGTAGTCTGGTGCTCCTGCATCTCTATAACCCCTAGCAGGGCCTTCCTAACTACCCTCACATCATCATCCATATGCGTCAGGTCCATCGTTTCTAACTCCTCTATGTCTGTCTCTCTTTGCTGCATCCTGGCTCTTCTTCTAATCATCATCTCCTTCTCCCTTTTTATCTTTCCTAATGCCTGTTGTTGCTGTGCCTCCTGTAGGGCTGCCTGCTGGATGGCGACATCCTCTGGGGTCAACACCGCGGGCTGGCTTGCCATTAAGCCAGTAGACTGACTCACGGTCTGTGCGACCGTGGACCCGGCGGTACCTGAGCTACCGGCTTGAGAAGTCTGCTGCGCAGACGTGCTCACGGCTGTTGTAGCCATGGCTGCTGTAGCACCAGCCTCACCAATTAAGGTTCTGCTGGCCTCGACTGCTCTAGCTCTCCTCTCCCTCTGCCGGCGGAACAGTTCCCTATCACCCTCCGGTCCTAGGGACACGTGAGTTAACGGCCCTCTGGCAGATCGCAAGATCCTGCGGTCGTCCTCTCCGGTGTCCCCTGTGTCGCTCATGGACTACAACACTGTGCAATGTCTACACTAGATCATTCTAGATGCCTACCGCAGCTTAGTGCACGGACCAACTATTTAGTGGTGGCTTTTTTTGGAACAGATCTCATTTGGGGTCAACAGGTAAGTCAGATTCCTATTGTCAATACTATTTTTAGTAAGATTAGTTCTCAAACAGAGGAAGCATCAGGAATAAACAATATTCTAAACTAATGCTGTCTGTCAGATGTCACATGGCTGTCCATCTATCTAATTCAAAAATAAAAATAATGTTGGCTGACTGGGTCTGTTCATAGCATGGAATTAAAACCCGAACTTATCACCTGGAACCTACCCCTCCCTTTGTTTTTCTCAAAGTCACGGTGTCACGTTTCTTCGCATCAGAAGCCAAGCGTGTCTCAAAGGTGTGCAATCCGGTCCCACCCCTGTGCCCCGGGTTATCGTCGAGCAAGGCAGCCACAACACTCTTATTTACCCTCGTACGCCGACGAGCCTTCCACTCGGATGATCTGGCTGATCAAGAGGCAATTTAACGTCCGCCCCGAAGTGACATCAGGAATTATTTTACGTCGCAGCAGGACGACGATCACAACCAGATCAGAGCCGAGTCCCCAGCCAGAAATGTTTATAGACGGTCTGGTAAGCGTCTGTAGAGGCTGCCATACTCGAGTTAACCCCCTATCATGCGCAAGCAGCAGAACCAATGACTTGCAGCGAAGCATGCGTGTACTACACCCAGTGTGTTGGCATGGTGACCGTGACCCAGTGCTTCGTCCAGGGCCCTTCAAGAAGCTCCGCCCGTCTTCTCCCAAGATGCTCCACGTGAACAATCACGACTCTCAAGGTTGAGCGCACTCCACACCTCACAATGAGAGGACTCTCAAGACAGAACTCACAACCTCACGGTAAGAAGTGATGAAGAGGGTAGATAAGGTTAAGAGCAACGTTCCTCGTTCATGCTGCCCCCAACCACAGAGATAATCTCACCAGATGACCTGAAGATGATTGCGATGACCAGTCACAGCATCGGCACAACCAGCATCTCGCCGTTCCACCTCAGCCTCAATCACCCAACCAGATAGTTCTCATCACACTGCGAACACCCAATATTTACACCTTAGCCTTTCAGGCGATGCCCCTCACCACCTGGGTCGCCTTCACACTCGTCTCCACCCTCCTCACTACACACCACTTACGGCCAAACTCTCCCAGCAGACCGCATGTATGTACCG